GGATCTAGTGATCCTTTATATATAGAAACAATATACAAGTAAGTGGATCAGTTCATGCGAGAATATTTCCTCGTTATTACATTGAATATTCAGAAAAAAAATACTCTTGGATATTCTGTATCTCTCTTGAAACAAATTTTTCAGCTAAAATCTATACTATACTTGATCAAAAAAAATAAAATGCAAAGAAAGAATTCTTTCTCTTCAGTTACTTTTCGTTTGTAGATATATGTTAGATACACACGCTTCTGATAAAACAAAATGATTTTGGTTTTGCTCTTGTTCGTTTCTTTTCATCTCTATAGTGTTTTCTCACTTCTGTTCCGTTTAAGTTAACAAAACTAGTTTTTGATCTGCATCTCTTTATTGTCTATTACGCAATTGGTAATACGTTACAACTTATATAGACAAAAAATTACTACTGTCGATGGACAAGTTTTATTGTAATGAGAAAAGTTAGACATCGAAAAGGAACTCTTGATAATGATATCTTTTTTTCATGAAAAATATAAGAACACATGAATATCTATATCTAGATAAGAATTAAAAAATTTGTCATATATCAAATATTATGATACTGAATGTCTGTTGTTTTTTTTGTCTATTATTTATCTTATATTTAGATCAAAAGAAAATATCAAGAATTTGGATAAACATTTTTCTTATCAATCATGATTTATTCTGTATTAATTCATAGTATACCGTTCGATAATATTATTTTAATAATAAATGAATGATGAAATTCAAACATTTATCGAGTTTTTACTCGATACTGAAACAACATCAGAAACATCATTTAATGAAGCAATTACAGAAAAACAGATACTATATAATAATGTACACAATGTTTCCATTTTTGAGAAAGTAGTTGATCAAAAACTTCAACAATGGAAAATTTATTATCAAAAAGAGTAAGGTGCTATTGCTAATCGAATAGCTATAAATGCTGGCAATGAAACATCTGATGAGGAATCTGAGAGTGAATCTGAAAAAGAATCATTATCTGATGATGAAGATGAAAAAACATCGCAAGTACAAGTGCATAAAAAAGGCCAGGTTAATTTACATTTTTTTAATATTTTAATGTATGAAAAGGACAGAGGTACATAAATATTATCCTCAATAGAATTTCATGAGAAATCGTTCCGTAACAAAATAATGCCTTTTCTGAAGGATTCAAATATTCACACTTCACTACAAGATAAAAAATATCCATAGTTCATAAGTGAACGTCTTCAACTGTCAAAGTGTTTTTTAATTCGAGTATGTGCTTAAACGATAGACCTTAATGAGCTATTAAATATCCTACAAGGATTTGGTTGTCTAGGCTTTGATTATCGAAATTTTACTAGATTTTTTACCAAAAAAATCGCAGTCTTTCTCAGATCAGATCAAAAATCAAGTTTCTAGTTCCGATTTTAAACTTGAGAGAACGAAAGTTCTTAATGAGATGAGTGGATTATGCAAATTTTAGTTTATCTAGTATTTCTTTTCTAGAGATATAAATATTACTTTTACACATGCGAGAATTTCGCATACTGAATATTTCCAGAAATGAAAGACTGGATAAGCAAAAGCTTGCACAATCAATTAATCTCATTAAGGACTTTCTTTGAATCAAGTTGTAAATCAAAACTAGAAAGTTGATTTTCGATCTGATCTGAGCAGAACTACGATTTTTTGTTGAAAAATCTAGTAAAATTTCGATATCTTGATAATGAACGTCTAGAAAACCAAATCTTTGCAGGATATTGAACTTGTTCTAATCAGACTGTTAAAAACCGACGAGAAAATGGTATCGTAACGAAATTCGCGTGGTCTTATTTAGAGTTCTATTGTTTTTTCTATATCTTTGTATATTAAGGAAATAGTGAATAGAAATGTAAACGTAACTAAATCATTTTCATTCAAATTTGAAACAATATTGATGTGAATATTCAACCATCTGAACCGAAATTTTTACTTGAAAAAGAAAATATGTATGAACCATAGATTTATGATTCGAAAGCAAAAAGTTGCATCCTTCAAAAATGACATCAGTTTTTTATTAGATGATTCTTCATGGAATTCTAAATTACGTAGACTACAAATAAAGTGACACTGAGAATAAATCTGTGCATATTTTATTTATCTATTGATTAATATAGACAATTCAATCGATTAAACAATCTGATATTCTCATCGATCCAGTTAGTCAATGTAAACGACTTCTTCAATTTTTATATTATTGTCAACAAGATCATACTCATTTGATTGATCTTTATTTTCGTACTCTTGATTATTGTGTTAAAAATGATAATGAAAAGATTGGTGCTGCAGCTTTACAACAAATTGCATTACATTTATCAGATGATACTAGTGATCAAAAACAATATCAACGACTTATTCGATTACTTCCATCAAATTTATCATCTTCTACTATACCTGAAATACATAAACCTATCTTAACAACAATTGAAATTCTTCGTTCAAGAGAACAAACTACTAATCAGGGTGTGGGTGTGGGTGTGGGTGTGGATGTGTGAGGTGGATGTGGGTGTGGGTGTGAGGTGTGGGTGTGGGTGCGAGTGTAGATCTTCTATTAGCTCACACCCACACCCACACCCCACACCCACACCCACACCCCATACCCCCACCCACACCCACACCCCCACCTCCACACCCACCCCACACCCATACCCACACCCTCCATCAACAGGAGATTGGATAACGACTGCGACTATGTATGGTGAGCGAGGCTTTCATACAGCGTCCATGTTGCTAAATGGAAAAGTGCTAGTTGCGGGTGGCATAGATCATCACGGTATTACTACAAAAACTGC